GACCCAATATAAAGCACCTCTGAACCCTTCCCTGTCCTGAGCCAGTCTCACTAATTCCAACACACAAACTTCCATTGTCCCAGATACTATATCACTACATCTCATCTGGGGCATGAAAATAATAATTAGGTAAAAGACTCTTACTAAGATGGGTAATGAAAAAGGGAATGATCAGATATTGTAGGTTTCTAATCAATGTCATAAAATGTGTATGGATGATTGAATGAAAACCAATATGCTTTGCAAACATTCATTTTAATTAATAATAATTTTAAAATGACATAAAATGAACATTTCAGCATCCACAAGCCACTTCAAGCTAATGTAGACCACCAATTTTAGGTAAGTAGTCATATTAATTTTTAGTAATATAAACATAATTTTCTTTAAAAATACTTTATCCAAAACTTATGAAATAAACAATAGTATAATGAATCTTTATGTACCCAACACTCAGCTTCAACAGTTACTGACCCATGGCCAGTCTTGTTCCAACACTACACCCATCTACTTCCTCTCTTCCATGTTATCTTGAAGTAAATCTCAGATATCATCTCATTCTTTCCATAAATATTTCAGTATGTGTCTCTGAAAACTATGAGCTTTTTTAAATTATTATTAAAAGAAAGACATCATCAAGACCATTTTCACCACTAAACATGTTTATCAGAATTCCTTAAATAGTATCAAACACCAAAACATCAAATTTTCCACTATCTTGAAACTGGTATGTGTGGTTTTCTTTTCTCCTTACACTGTCTTAGAGTTTTATTGGAATAAAAATTCAAATTAGGCCCACACATTAACCTTGAATATACCATTATTTTTTATTGTAATTTGAGTGTAGCAATTTTTTCAACCACTCATACACATTTTATTTGATAACCTTAATTATAATACTTACACTGTAATTTCAGTTTCCCCACTTTCTCCTGTAATTCTCATTTCCATGACTACTTCTATCCTACCCCTTCCTGCCTTGAGGACTTTATTCTTGGGCAAATGGTCTTTTGACCTTATATGGTTGTTCATAAGGAGCGCGGCTTACAGGTCTGATTGTTCACCTTATTAGACAATAGATGTAGAGAGCACATCAATCATTTGGCTGAAAGTTGAGCCACAGGGGGTATCATGTTGTCATGTTGAGTGATGGGGTAACTCCTGGGGGGGGGGTGAGTTTTGTTCAAGTTTGAAGAGCAACGAAGGGCTGTAGTCTTGAAGGTTCTATCAGTCTCTACTGGACCGATAAGTACAACCACATTCCTGTTTTTGAGCTTTGCCCCACATTTTCACCCACTCCCTCCAGGACTGTCCGCTGTGATCTTTTTCAAGTGGTCAGCAGTGGTAGGGTGGGCACCACCTGGCTTTCTAGCCCCAGGGTCATGGAGGTAAAGGTTCACATGGCTCACGGTAATTGCATCAACACAACCCTGCTTTTCTTCCCTTTGTTCTACACAGGGAAAGAAGACCCATTGCTGTGCCTTCAATGGTTATTCACAAGCTTTTAAGACGCTATTCAAGACTCATCAAGTAAAATGTAGAACATTGTCTTTGTGGACTGTGTAAAGGTAAGAATATTTTACATATTATTAATTCATTTATACAACTGTTAGAGGGCACCATTTACAACCTATCCTTTTTAACCTATCCCCATTAACTTTTCTGTTCTTACCCTTTACTTTTCCTCTAACACAATCCCAGCTCTAAGTTGTAAGTCATTAGAAATAATATTAAATGCCTGATATCTCTTTCCAAGGGCTATGACTTCAGAAAGTATAGATTTTTAAAAATGAAACCTGCTTTTGGCCCTCTGACAGATGCTGGACCATGGTATTGCAAAACACATTGAAAATCTGGAGGCTGCATGCTTTGACTTGTGAGATGGGGCAAATGAGCCTCCCACATCCACAGTGACTGTCTCTGGCCATGGAAAGCATGTCTCCAGCATTACAGATAGCTGTAAACTCTGCCAAATAATAATTTCCTCCTTTCACAGTGAAGACAAGTGCCAGATACTGGGAAAGTAGTTAACTCTATTCAGAGCAGATTAGACCTCAATTTGGTTTTAAGACGACAATCTGATTTTCTTGATCCAGCTAAACGTTTTTTTTTTCTCTTAAAATTGGCTGAGTTTAGCCTTTGGACTCTACAGGCCAATGACAGAATTGACAAGGTTTCAAGACAAATCACCAACAAACACACCAATGATAAGGAAAATCAAATACCAATTCAAGGCCATGGAAAGGCAGGATGGAAAGTGGGGGAGAAGTGACCACACTGTACTGGAAAACACAGTTAGGATTAGCTCCTAGAGTGGGCTGGGGGCAGAGGCAGACAGAAGAGTAGGGGAAAGGGTGAGAAATGAAGGGAATAAAAAGCAAATCTAATATGGGGAATAAAGAGAGAAGAGGAAGGAGTCTTCAAGGACATCCAGGTTTCTGGCTCCAGCACAGGGAGACGTTGGAGGAGGGAAAGGAAATTCCCTAAATACGTGCATAACCATTCACTCACCAGGGACTCTCCTCCAGAATGCCATTGGTCCAGAGATGGAAAGAGTCAAATGATCTGGGAACAAGAAAATGCACGAGAGATATATTCTCCTTGTAGTTACAGCAATGGTTCCACTATTGGCTGTGCACTACAATCATCTGGGGAATTTAAAAAAAATACCTATGCTCAGGGTCCAGCTCAGGCCAGTTGAATCAGAAACCCCAGTCCTGCTCCCCTCTCTGCAGGCGATTCTAACGTGCAGCCAGGGCTGAGGACCACTGGACTACCGCGTGGACAGGGACTCCTTCAGCACAGGATCAATGACCCTCCTGTTCCGAACCTGTAGGATGCATTCTTGGAAACATTCATAACTCAAAGCTTGGTTTGGCTTGGCTTGGATTCTGGGAGCCTGGGTGAGAGAAACGTCCTGCTTTGGCATTCACAGGTCTCAAGAGGCCGCACCATGAGCAGAGGACTGGCAAGAACCAGAAAGGAAGGGAGCAAGGTGGCCCGTTCTTGCTTCCTTGTCTATGAAACTGTTCAGCTCTCACACTGTGGACATAGTATTGTCAGGGGGATGTCTGCCAAATGCAGATTGTTGGGCTCCACTTCCTGAGTTTGATGGTGGAAGGTATGGATCAGAAGCCGGCACTTTATTCTTTTAAAGAAAATTTTTCTTTTATAATGATTTACTTACAAAGCTTGTATACATTGTTTTTCACACCAGAAAAGAAACCCACACTTTTAAAAGATCCCAGGTGACTCTCCCAGGGCTCACTGAGAAACAGTGAGGCCGGGGGGACTCGTCTCTGTCCTCTGTGATGGATGTGCCCTTGTAAATCCTGGACCTCACCTTGGAGAATCTGAGGTGACACCTGGCACCCAGTGCTGAAAATCCATTTCTGGAGGTGTGGTGTCCCAGCATTAACACCATCCAAAGGCTTCCGTCTTGCCTTTTGGGCACAGTCTGCTCCAGAAAAGCAGTATGTGCCCAACTGGGGGCAAAGAAGTGGACTGATGCCATGTTTTCCTTTTATCACTGAAGGTGGAAGCGAAGCAGGAAGGATCCTCGGCTCACTTGCTTGTTTTCACAGGATGGGAAACTGGGGGTTTTCCTCAACTGACTGACTATAGGCAGAAAATCCAGGATCAAGAATGGGAGCTCAAGAAAAGACCTTGTTACTGTTCAGCTTGTTACAGTCATGTGTCATCAAGTAGGGTACAAACCATAGCAACCCTATGAACAACTGATCTGAACCTTGTCCTATCCTGTGCCATCTTCACCATATCTGAGCCAACTGCTGCAGAAACTGTGTCAATCCATCTTGTTGAGGGTCTTCTTCTTTCAATGATGCTCCCACCTTTTCAATCATGACTTCGCTCGCCAAGGAATAGCCCCTCCTAACAACCTGCCCACAAATGCTCCCATCTTACAACCAAAATCTGGCGCTCCTCCTGGGCCCCACCAGAGACCTATAGAATCATTTATTAGTGGTGTAGCTTGGCCATCTGCTTCAACAAGCCCTCAGGTGATCTCGATGTTCCATGAAGCTTGAGAATGGAGGCTAGAATGCATCAGTGACCACAGAATTAGGCCAGACCCCCGACCTCTCCTGGCCATCATCTCAGGTCCCTTTATGGACAGAGGTTATCTAATGGTCGCCCTCCCTGCCCCCTCCTCCCCACAGTCCCCAACTTTCCACTCCTAGTGACCAGGAAGGTGCCGAATGACACCAGGGCTGCTACACCCAGAACAAAGGAAGCCAAGTTCCAGGCAGCTGTCACCTGTTCCAGCTTGTGGGCTGACTCCAGCTTTGTTTTCTCTAAGCCTAAGAGGGGCTGGAGGAAGGGCATTCCCAGAAAGAAAGAACATCTGGGATGTTAATATCCCCTCCCAGAAAGCTCTGGTTCAGGAGCCTCTGGGACCATCTGAGGGTGCCACTGCTCTCTCAAGGAAAAAATGGGGACACAGTTTAGGAAGGGCCTCAAAGTCCATAGCTCCCTTTTCCAGGCCCAGGGAAATGTCTTCCCTTCCTATTAGATGCAGAAGCAAATACGACCTTTCTGGGGCAGCCTGAAACCAAAAGGTCCTTTGTGGGTCAAGATGGTGGCAACACTGAAAGCTCACATTTCCAGAAACAGGGTCAGGCCCAGGGACGCTGGTCTGGAGCTGAGGTGCAAGGCCCAGGACTGGCTGAGCAGGACAAGAAAAGTTTCTTAGCTCTTCTTTTCCAGACCCGGTTCTAGACCTTTTCCACATGTTCTGACGGAAGACAGAGACCGGCAGACTCACGAGTGGGCATCACGGGGATCAGGGTAACCCAGACCTGTGGGCCGATGTGCCTACATGTAGGTCACAAGCTGAAAGTAAAAATTCAGGAGGCTCACTTGGTTAAATTAAAGGTACAATTTTACTGTATTTTCTTTTTAACTCTACTTGAGGCAACAAGTATCATTTAATAATTTAATATCACATTGGAGGGAAAACATGGCGGGAAGATCCTCCTGTGAAAGCCAAACATTCTCTCCAAGGTTCAGCGAGGGCATTTTCAGGCTGACAGAAGAACGAGGATTTCCAGGAAATAAAACCGCGAGGCCAGCATCTGCCTCTGAAGCCATTTCCCCGCTTGGTTTCCATTTCCCAGGCTCAGGGGACAATGCTCGTAGCTTTTCTCAGGGCCAGGTAGCCGGTGACGACGTCGGACGGCAGCCTCCGGATGTAGGAAAACTCTTCAATGGTGCTGAACCTCAGCTTGCTCTGGGGATCTGTGTAGTTGGCCTAGGCAAGAAAGGGCACAAGGAAATGTGGAGTTCAAGTACAAGTTAAGTTGTTTTGGGGTTTTTCTCCCCATTTTACTGTGAGTGAAACAGATCTTCATTGCGAGTTCTCCTGTCACAGGAGGCCCTGAGTTTCTCACATGGGCAAAGGGTCATTAATCTTCTCAGACTGGAGAAACACTCCAGGGTGTGGACAGGAGGAAGAGGAGTAACCACATCAGACTCTGGGCCTTCTCCTGGGTAGCGGTAGGCAAAATGTCCAAAATAGAATTCATGACCGTCAATCCTCCTCGCCTTCAAACTCCTACCCACTTTAAAGAAAGAAACGATCTTGGAGGGAGGGAGGGTGCCCGCTCTCCACCCATGCTTGGCACTCCTGCCCCGCACTGTTAAGACACCACGTGTGTACCGCCTGCTGTACCAGGTCCACGGCTCCCAGCTACACCACAGCACTGGACAGGCCACACGCATGGGTGTCTCCTGTAACTGCAGCCAGCGCCACCACTGCAACCCGCAATGTGCTCCCATCACTCCTCAATATTAAACCTCTACTCTTTACTCTCCTCCATACAAAGGCTCAAAACCTGGGATGCTTGTCCTGTCGCTTTCACATGGATGATCTGCATCTGACTAAGGTACAGGGATGAAGTTTCAGGAGGCAGAACCCTGCTGTTTGCTAATCACTGCTTCCCAGCTCCTAGCATAGCGCACAGTGGGCCTCTGGTCAGTGTTTGTACCAAAAACAATTAAGTGAATGCATGGATGAGAGGGACCTTCAGGCAGAAAAGAACTTATTTCCCCAATGACATCAAAATCCTTTCGCCTTCTGCTTACCCATATGCAAAGTAGAGAAAACAATTTGCTTACTATGTGTCTCAAGCTTCGACAGATTTTCAAACATGGGGTGAGTCATTTTGAGTTTTTATAAAAAAAGTCATTCAAGATGCCATTAAAGTCTAGACAGATAATATCTAATTACTCATATGTGGCTCATCTGTTCCGGGTTGATCATCTCTATTACCAGACTCCCAGTATTTCTGTGAGTTACTGAGGGGAGGAGACTCTGCAGAGAAAATGACAAGCGGAGGTGGACACAGCTGGAGGACTCTGTGGCTCTAAGAAGTCTCTGATTTTTCTAGTGGAGAGCTCTTCGAGAAACTTAACTTCTGTGTGTTAGGAACATCAGATTACTCCTGAAAAGTTAAGATTAATTTGAGCTCTAAATAAAACAAATTTCTGGCTGGATCTAGGTAGAGCCTTTTCATACCACCTTTCCCTTAACGACAGGACCATAGGGATGGCTTAATTAGAAAAGCAGGGATAGGCCCCTTCTGTGGGTGGGCACCTGGCTGGGAGGCAGGTAGAGACGGCCTGACTGGCAGAGCTCTTGCCTGGGCATCTGGCTTTGATCATCTGTCCTCCGTAGATGAGCCAGGCCCAGCCTGGCTCCACTTCTGTGGCTGCCTCATTCCTGCTACCAAGCTGTGGTGAGCCAGCCCGCCCAAGTTCAGCCCTCTCTGCCAGGAAGGCTGAGGAAGAAGGAACGTGGAGTACAGGGGACCAGAAGGCACTGACAAAAAGGTCACAGGCAAAACTTGAACAGATCAGAGCTGGCCCACGTGCCAGCGTTCCATACGCTGAACAGGAGAAAGCAGCCAAGTGACACCTCTGAATTGGACAAGTAAAGCGTTTCACCCACAAAGTCCACCTTCCTCTGGACCCTTGAGCCTGAATGAGACAAAGGGTCTCTGGGGCAGTCAGTCAACAGCCTTGGGCCCTTGCCGGCTGCAGGGTGACAGCGTTGAGTGCTTTCTGGACTGCCACCAAAGCTGTCCTCATCGCTCATCCCAAGCCACAATTCTCTCCACAGCTCTGAGATGAGGGCTAAACACAGGTGTGACCTGTATGCCTTCCTGTGGGCCCCAAACCCTGAGTAAACAGTCACCTGGCTGGCTGGGAGCAGCTGGCTCAATCCATACATGAGCCGGGCTTTGCTTTTTAATTATATAGCTTTAAATTATACACGGAGCATGAGAATACATTCTGAAGACAACCATTACAGAGAAGAATTTCTACCACCATTTACTATCCAAGAGTCTTGGGCCTTTTCCTGAGAAAACCACTGCTAGGGGGCTACCCTTCCAGACCTGGCAAAAAACATACCCTCACGTACATTTTGTGTGTGTTGACATTTACTTAGAGGTACCATGTTGTGGACACTGCTTTGTACCTTCTAGTTAACAGCACACCTTAGCAATTCATCTAGGTTGTTGCATATCCCTCTAGCTTATGGTTGTTGGTTGTGTGTTGTTGAGTCTGGACAGACTCATAGCTGACTCTCCAGCAGATTTTCAGAGGCAGTAAACGGTATAGGAGGAGACTGCCTATCTTTCTCCTGTGGAGCGCCTGGTAGATTTGAACTGCATACCTTTGCGTAGGCAGTGCAACTTCTTATCACTAAGCCACCAGAGGAGCTGACCTTCTCAGGCACCACTCTCCAAGCCTGGTCATAAATTATACGCTCAGCACAAAACGACCTAGAGAAAAAATTCCTGCTTGAGGCCATAGTAGTCTAACTGCTATCAGACCAGTTTCTGCCATAAATTACATTAAAATAAGCCAAATGTATGTTCAAGAGCATTCTTTTCAGGCAACAGACAATGTTGTCTTTGAAAATTGTGAAAAAGGAAATGTAGGTGAGTTCCATGATCATCCCAACTCTCTACCTAACACAATTTTCTGACCACAGTTCTGAGATTGCGGAGGAAGAGGTCAGAGTCAGGGGCCACCATAGTGGCCACAATTTATACAGCCGGGCACCTGATAGGAGGCAACTATAGAGGAAGAAGGAAAAGATCTATTTGAGATCTCCCATGAGTCCATGACGATGGGTGGGCTATGGATGCCTTAATGAAGAGTGGCTACCTCTGGCTTATGAGAACAGAGACATCAGAAGTCTAGAAGTACTGGAAGAAGCAGAAGGTCAAGTCTAGCCAAGTGGAGGGGTCTGCAGAACCCAGCAGGCATCAAGCCGACACATTAGACAGATCACAGCTTAAGAGTAAAGACAGAGCCCAGGAATAAGGCCTATTCTTGACAAATCTAAACAAAGTCTAATACCAAACCTCCATGGGGTCAGCAGAGAATAGTCTGAAAGCTTTAAGTGAAAAAGATTTTGGCTTTTCATAGACCTGTTCTAACAAATCATAAAATTTAGCCTATAATTATTCAATAACTGAGCTACTGGTCAGAAAACAACAGTAGTAACAAGAAAAACCTCTCAACATTCTTCAGAGAAAGATAACAGAATCTGAAGTCTGTGGAACATAATCTACAGTACACACACACACACACACACACACACACACAGAGATATGCAAGAAACAAGAATAAATGACTCACTTACAAAAAAAGCAGTAAACAGAAACCAGCTCAAGATGAACTAGATGTTGAAGATAGTAGACAGACAGTGTAAAGCTCGGTCTTAACAAAGAAGTCAGTGGAACTGGACCCAGACATGGCACAGATGTTGAAACTATAATGTTAGAAATTGAAAATAACTATAACAACAATGTTAAAAATGCTAAAAGAAAAGGTAGAAAGTGTGTAAGATCAGAAAGATTATCTCATTAGGGACTTGGAAATGATCAGAATCAAGAGAAGGGCTAGAAATTAAAAAACAAACCACAACCAACAAAACAAAACCAACCAAAGAGATGAAGAATGCTTCCAGCTGGCTCATCAGCACACTTGATTCAGTGAGGAAGGGACCTGAAGACATGCCAACAGAAATGGAAAAAAGGGATGAACAAAATAATAATGAGAATAGCAACAGGACAGAGCCCTCCAGGGCTGTGGAGTATTATCAAGTGGATTAATATGGACATAGACGGAATCCCTGATTGAGAAGCAAAATAAATATCTGAAGAATTTATGGCCAAGATCTGTACAAGTTAATGACAGAGAAAAAAACCACAGATCTAAGAAGCTCAGAGAGCATTAAACAAGATAAGTAGCTGAAAAAATGACAACCTATACAACATGACCCTGTCAGTATCATACTCCAATGGCTGAAAACAAAAGACAAAGAGGAAATCCTGAAGGGAGCCAACGTGAAGGAAGAGAGGAACAAAGGTAAATTGTATTGGACTTTTCATGAGAAATCATGCAAGTAAAGAGACAACATTGAAAGATTGATACTGTAAAAGAGCCATCAATCCAGATTCTATATCCACTGAAAATACCACTTAAAAAAGGAAGGCAAAATAATGGCATCCTCAGTTAAACAAACAAATAAAGCAAAGAAATTCATTGCCAGTAACCTACTTTATAACAAACGCCAAAATAAAGTTTCTCTGATAGAAAGATTACAGTATCAGATTGCAATGTGGGTATACATGCAGAAATGAAGAGTTACAAACAGAATAAATGAAAGTAAAAAAACCCAATAAAATGATTTTTCCTTATTTTTATTTCTCTGAAAGATGACTGACCATCTAAAGAAAAATAGCAGCAGTATGTTTATAATATATGTAAAAGTAAACTGTGTAACAATAATACCAAAAAGAATAGGAGAATGGAAATGGAAATATACTATAAGATCCTTATAATACACAGCAACTGTTATAATATTATTTAAAGGTGGGTTCAGGTAATTTTAAGATGTATATTATAAACATGAAAGGAGTCATTACATTTTATTTTCATTAAAGTTTCTTAAAAGAAGTATAAGATGTTTATTAGAAAAGAACAGAATAATAAAAATGCTCAATTAACCCCAGGCATATCAAATAAAATCTGAGGAAAATACCAAATTCCAGCAGTAGGCCATCCTACAAAATACCTGACCAGTACTCCTTAACTCAAAACTTTCAAGGCCATTAGAAATGGAAATTCTGAGAACCCATCACAGCCAAGGGGAAGCTAAAGAGACACAGTAAATAAACGTAATATAGCATCCTCTATGGGATTCTGGATAGAAAAGGGACAGTTGACAAAAAT